ACCCTGGTTGTGCTACTTTTTACCCTGCCTGGATTATGCATTGCCATCTACAGATGCAGGACAGTCTGGTTTTTGTCTCCAGCAACTTTTGGACACTTGTAAATAGTTTAGGTCCATTTGGTTAGAAAGAGAAAAATGATAGAAAGTGAAAGTGATAGAAAGTGAAGTAAATGAAAGAAAATGTAGGAAAATATTTTCATGCATGTATTTAGTTAGTATGAAAAACTTGTAAGAAAGTTTAAAAAAAATTTCGTTGTATTGTTTAAAAGAAAGGAAAGTTATAAGAAATTTTTTTCAATTGTCTAAATTACCCTTAATTATATTAAAGCGGTTTAAAGAATAAAAAAATATGTATTATAATTAAAAGTTAAAATATAAAAAAATGGCTCCTAACCTAATTCGGGACAAGGATTGGCACGAACCTACATCTTCAGGCCAATATTATATGGTTAACATAACCTGTACAAGCTTTTCCAAATTAATAACCAATTGTATTTTAATGAAAATAAGGGTAAAATGAAGAGTTAAATTATAGATCACAACTATTTTTTTCCATTGCATTTAACCAAACACATTGAAAGTTTTTTCTTTCTTGCATTTTCTTCCATTATCCCACTAAACAAACAGACCATTTAAGAAATTGATAGAATACAATAGTTTGATTGTTTGTCCTACCAAGGATTTTCGTTCAATTTTTTTCCAAGCTGAAACAGTCATATTTGAAGTTATTTGTCCTTGACAGGCCCATCCTGACCTGATACATGCGTTTCAAGCTGCTGCAGCTGGAGGATCTGGGAGTTCTAGTGCATCTTTGAACAAATCATTGAATTCAGCAATTATTGTGAGGCCGTTCCTCGAGGGAGGGGAGTTGATGAAAGGGCCGCCCGTGCTGCAGCAGAAATGAGGAAGAAAGCTGCAGCAAGGGGCCTCTTGATACGACCACATGGTGTTCCTGTCCAAGCTTTGCCTCCACTTACACATCTCCTTGACATAATAAATTCAGGAATGACACCAGATGCTGTGAGCAATGAGGGAACTGATAGAATAAAGAAAGAAGTCAATGGTCATTCTTCAAGTGGAACTGAAGCTGCCCCCGAGGACCAATCTCGACCAGAGCAACAAGATCAGACTCCTGTTGGATTGGGCACAGGATTAGCGGCTCTAGATGCCAAGAAGCAGAAAACAAAACCAAAGCCACAGCTTGAAAATTGGACTGCAATATTCGACTTTGTCGGCTCACTGCCTTCAGATTTGGTCCTTGGACTCTAAGGATATTGTGTTGTGATCTAAGCGAGGAGACTTCTTCAACCCATTTGAGTTAATGAGGTATGCGTGTTCACTCTATTCTCTCGAAGTTAGAAGAGTATTGAGACGTGCCCATGCTACTGTATTTCATTCTTTCAATAATTACACTGGCGGTTGTACCCTTTGGAAAGCAGAGTTTGACCAATTTTGGATGAAACGACATATATAATTGTCGGGGCATTTCGACAGCGCAAAAGGTCTTTGACTGCCAGTTATGGACAAAACAGAACAGTGAAGAATTTTTTGGATTTTTTCTACTATTGAACCAACCCTGTCTACTGAACAATCTTTGCCAGATCTACTAATTCCTCCTATCCCTATACAAGAAGAGAATCCAATGCCTGAAGTTTTAGTTGATTTCGTTCCCCCAGAACTGAATGATTCAGTTTTGCCAGTAGACGACGAGGCTGACCTGGTTCAGGCCACTGAGATTGTTCTTGTCGAACATGATCCCCCAATTTCTGTTCATTCCCCCGTTGATGAAAAGGATTCAATCTTTGAGCTTTCTAAAGACCCCGCCCTAGAAAGGCAAAAATTTGTAGAGTTTGAAATGGCTCTTTCTCCCAAGCTCGTCAATCCCCCCTTTCAACCTGTCCTCAAGGCAAAAAGGAAAGAGATTACTATGAAAGATTCTGCCATCAAGGATATCAATGTTGCAGTAGGGCTTGCTCAGGTTGTAATTTTGCCTCGGGACCTAGCTGTAAATGAGGCCTTAACTAATGATGAAGTGTCCCGTTAAGCGATTCAGCATATGGTCTTGGTATAACTTGCTTCTTCCTTTGAAACTTCCTTTCCTCTTTTTTGAAAAGATTTCTAAGTTTCTTCACTTGCAGGGGCTTCAAAAATTTCACGAGGTCGGGGCAAGGATAGCTCAAAAAGACAAAGCAATGAGAGATGCTATCCATGCCCGTGCCTCTGCTTTAGCAAAGAAGGAATCTATAGATGAGGAATATGCCAAAATCTGTGAAGAAGTTAAGGCTCTGCAGGCTCAAAATCAAAGCCTGACTAAGGAGAACCATAAGCTTCGAATAGAAATTGGGAAACTTAGAGATTCTGGGCATGAGGCGAATGTGAAAGTTTCTCAATCCTAACTCGATTACACAAGTCTTCTGAAAGAATTTGATTAGTATCGAGCTGAGGCTAAGGAACA